GTCCGATCGCACGGAATACCCGACGAAAACATAATTTTGTTTCATTACGACGACATCGCCAACGATCCCATAAACCCTAATAAAGGGGTTGTTGTGAACGAACCCAACGGTCCCGATGTCTACAAAGGGGTGCCTAAAGAGCTTAGTATTACCGGCGACGAGATTACGCCCGAGGTATTTATTTTTAAAATTAAAATTAATTGATGTTATTTTTAATTTTTAAATAATTTAGAGATTTTTGCGAGTTCTCAGAGGGGATAATAGTTCAGGGTCGCTTGTCATCAATAGCGGTCCTAATGATCATATATTTGTCTATTTAATTGACCATGGTTCTGATGGTATTTGTGATATAATTTTAATTCTATGCATTAATAGTATTATTTTTATTTACTAGATATTGTAGAGTTTCCCAATGGCCTGCTCTATGGCGAGGAATTAGTGACCACGATCAAAGACATGCATGCTAATAAAAAGTTTGCTAAACTAGTGTTTTATTTGGACACGTGTCACGCTGGTAATAGAATGTTCACTATTTAACTGGTATATTTTATGATTAATTAATTTTAATTTTGACCAGGCTCAATGTTTGCTAATCTTCTACCAAATGATATTGACGTATACGTGACCACATCGTCGAGTCCGGACGAAAACAGTCACTTTTGTTGCTACGATGAACGGCTCAAGGTATTTGTCGGTAAGCGTTACAATATTTAAGATATTTTAATTTAATTCAAACATGTTAAAAACATTTGCCAATTAATAATGTAACACATTTAAACACTATTATAAATACATTTATCGCAACGTTATTAACCTAATTGACAATACACATTTCAATATGTGTACTAGTATAAATGTTACTAGTTCAAATGATACTAATATATTTGCTAACAATATATAAATAAATAAATATTCAATATTTTTTAAAAAGTCAATATTTCAATTGCCATATTTGACCAGGCTTGTCGTATAGTAACTTTTGGATTAAAAATACGGATACCTTTGACTTAACCAATGAGACACTGCAACAACAGTTTGAATACGTAAGGGACAACTCATACGATACGGTAATTGACGGCAAACACGAGTACGAACATAACCAACAGTACGGGGACCTAAGCATTGCTAAACTACCTGTGTCACATTTTTTGGGTAATGTATATTAGTTAATGATTTGATAAAATAATTTTTAGGATATTTTATTTATATATAGGAAGCAAACCTATTGCTAATAGCAATAGCGGAACGCCTACTTCGGGACAGGTATGCGAAGGGGCGTCCAAACGAGATGTTGCCATAACATTGTTACAAAAATGGATTATGAGTACGAGTAATGTTACCGAGAAATTAGGGTAATGTAGGAATAGTAGTAAAAGTTTTAGAATTTTAATTAATTTTTATGTATTCTATAGATATGTCAAGGAATTGGAGTCTATATTAAAGGGTCGAGAATTTGTGGATAACTTTATGACTGAATACGTGAATAGTATTCAACACTTAATACCAAACATCGAAACCAATGCTATACTCAATACGAAACGAGAGCTCAATAATAGACTCTGTTATCGACAACTGGTCGACACTTTCCACCAAAAGTGCTTTAATTTGAATCAAGTATTTAATGATTATTATCTATAATTTGAGTAAATTTTCTAAAATTATTTTATTATTTTATTTCAGAATACATACACATTAAGCAAATTGCAAATATTTGTCAATATTTGCGAACTTATTACTGATGATAGTTATGTCAATACTGTAATCAATCACTTGATTACGTATTGTCAACAAAATATTAACACTAATTTGTACTCTAATATTGAGTGAATAAAATGTAATTAATTATGCCTGCTTACATGTAATGTTTGATTTTATGATACAAATAAAATACATTTTTAAAACAGACTAAAATGTATTATAAATATATTAATAAACTATTTAATTGTTATTTTTTTATTACTATTTATTTTTCATAATTTAGTATTTTTAGTAATTTCAATTTTAATAAATTTATAAATAATTAACATAAAATTAACATTAAATAATTTTGTTGTAATTATAATTATTAAATGCATATAATCATACACAATTATAATTAAAATTGTCAATTATAATTGAAAATTCAATTAACACCCGGCAAAGTTTGTCGGGTCATTTAAATCGAGTCCATTGGTACAGTATATGCCGTTCACGTGGGACTTGAACTCTGGTTTCATAAGCCACGCATTCCTACACTCATTGCAATTGATTTGAGTAATCACTTCATTCAACGGGTTTTCAGTCATAAATGTGCTAAAAGTTGATTCATCCAAATATGTAATAGTCTTATCATCCAATAATACCAATGAGACAGGTCGTTTAGCGCCCTTAAATGCAGCCTTACTTATGCCACTCATATCGATGGTATCGGTACTCAAAATTAATCGTAAGTTTGTTTTCAACGAGTCGTCGAACGCGAAGGCATTGTCAGAGATAGCGGTGATGTTAGCGCTCGATATACTCATATATCGCAGACTACTTCCCAGCGCTCGGAAGGCATTCCCGGAAATTTTGGCTAATTTTTCGCCCCCGATCTTAAGTGTAGTTAAATTCTTATGCTCTTTAAACGCATTCTCAGGGATTGTGTGTAAATTGCAATCGGCGATTAATAATATTTCTAAATTATCTAGCATGTTTATCATATCAAATATATCAGAATTATTGGCTATACTAAGCCAGTAAAGTTGAAGCTCAACCACCGAATCGGTGGTTCCTTTAAATATTTGTGGGTCAATATGTTTTATATTCGATCCCTTAATTAGTACTTGCTTAAATTTTAGATCGGCAAATGCTTCCGCTGGTAGTTCGGTAGCGTTCGATAGTGATATGTATAGGGCCTCAAACTGTCGATCTTTTTCATCCAGTGCCTTGCTTATGTTTTCAAAATGCCCTTTAATATCCGCCATATTCTCGGAGCATGATAATACTGTAGCATCGACATCATCATCGTTGCATTGGCATGGTTTGAGTAAGGCTGGTGCGGGACATTTAGAGTGTACCTGGTCTAATGTTGCGATGGATATCACCACTAATACTGTAATTAATTTATTAAACAAATGATAAAATATATAGATATGTCAATGGAAATGTCATAGGGAACTAAGTAGTCATCCAAATACATCAGAATTAAATTTAAATTTAATCATTATTTTACTTTAATGTATTTGGATTTTAAATAGTTCTCTATGACATTAACTGGCTCATATAAATTATATTCAATTTAGTTCGTGTTAATAATAATCTCATATTTAAATGGCAAGGTTATTTTATACCAAAGCCATAAATATAATTGTTGCATAATGTGAGTCTATTATTTACCCTTAATATAATTAATTGCATAATATAAATTAAAATTATTTTATACTTTTATTGATTTTTATACATTAAATTATACATACTTTTAAAATATTATGGTCATATATTTATACTTACATATAAACTTCATCGTTATATAATAATGATCAGATTATTAATTATTAATTAAATAATAAAACTACTAAACAAATAATTTATAGTAAATTATTTACCCTTTTCAATTTATTGTGAACTACATTGAACACGTAAGCTAGTTGATTAATTACTATTACAAAATAAAATACCTTATACTTTAGATTAATGATTAGATTAAATGTGTACTTTATTAATACAATGGTATAAAATTCATTGTGAATTGTTATTGTACTAAGTACCAAGTTGCTTGTAGTTTTAATCGCATTGATAAATGTTAAATTTCTAATGAATTCAGCAATCATATTTTCTAATTAAAAGCTTTTAATCGTTAATGATAAATGTTACTATATTATCAATTAAAAAATTAAATTATTTATAAAATCATAAATATTTTATTTAAAGTTTTGTAATTATTATTATTATTATATTTTAAATTAATAACATATATTTTCAAGTCAATTTAATTAGCACTCGGTAAAGTTATTCGGGTCATTTAAATCAAGCCCATTCGTACAGTATATTCCGTTAACTTGAGACTTAAACTCCTGTTTCTTAAGCCAAACATTTTTACATTCACTACAATTGATTCGTGTTATCACTTCATTCAACGCGTTTTCGGTCATAAATGTGCCAAAAGTTGATTCATCCAAATATGTAAGTCTTATCATTTAAAAGTGTCAATGAGACAGCACGTTTAGCGCCCTTAAACGCCGCTTTACTTATGCCATTCATATTTATGACATCGTTATTCAAAACTAATCGTAAGTTTGTTTTCAACGAGTCGTCGAACGCGAAGGCATTGTCAGAGATAGCGGTGATGTTAGCCATAGATATCTCCATATATCGCAGCGAACTTCCCAGCGATCGGAACGCGTTGCCCGAGATTTCGGCAATATTTTGGTCCAAAATCTTAATTGTAGTTAAATTCTTATGCTCTTTAAACGCGTTTTCAGGGATTGTATTTAAATTCGTATGCGAAATGGATAATGTTTCAAGGTTTTCTAGCGCATTTACCAAGTTGAATATATCAATATTATCTGTTAAATTAAGCAAGTTAAATGACAACTTTGCCACCGATTTTGTGGTTCCCTTAAGCAGTTGCGCGTCAATATGTTTTATGCCCTGTCCACTAATTTGTACTTGCTTAAACTTAAGATCTGGTAAATCTGGAGTTACGCTCACTATTTGTAACGTATCAAACTGTCGGTCCTTTTCATCCAGTGCCTTGCTTATGTTTTCAAATTGTGCCCGAATATCCGTAGCTGAGTTGTAGCATGATAATGTTGTATCTTGGTTATTCATGAAACATACGCATGGTTTGAGTAAGGCTGGTGCTGGACATGTTGAGTGTAGCTGGTCTAGTAGTGCGATCGATATCACCACTACTACTACTATAAGGTTTGAAATTGAATTTAAAATTTTATTAATTTTAATTTTAAAAATTATTATGGCGACATTATATTTTGTTACAAATTGATAAAATAATAATATTATAAATTTACATATTTTCATTGTGGTTATATTTTAATTGATAAATTTTTTGTTAAGAATTTATAAAATACTGTAGAATGTTTAACAATTAATTTATAGTAAATTATTTTATAGTAAATTATAGTAAATTAATTATTTACCTTTTAAATTTTATGGTACACTTATTCACTTGTACTCAAGGTACATATTTATTATTAGATTTCTATTGAAAAATACTTTATGGCATGATTAAATTATTTGTATTAATTATTAATTGTACTTTACACAAGTATCTTTATAGTTGTATTAAATGAAAACATTTGAAATTTCCTATGAAAAAGCAATCATATTGTTTAATTAAACAAACATTATGATTGCGAGTTTAAAATAATAAAAATACTGTCGACTTTCGATATAGTAACTCCCTGTATAGTGAACTCTCGTTATAGTGAATGAAAAATTGTAATTTGGCGGCCACTGTACAGTATACCTATAATGTTAATTAACTCCCTGTATAGTGAACTCCCTATATAGTATACGAAATCGGCTTGCACCAAGCCATTCACTATATCGAAAGTCGACAGTAACATAATTATCATTCAATACTTTAATTCAATTTCTAATTTTTTAAAATATTAAATAAAATTTTATAGTTTAAATATTATGGTTAAGAATGCTAAAATACAAATTAATCATTAGAGTATTGAGTAATTTATTAAATTACAATTTTATTTAAATAATGCCAATCAAATTGAACACGTATAATTTATACCGAGAATGTAATTTATAATAATAATAATAATAATAATATAAAATAAGTGAAAATTTTCATAATAATCAAAATTAATTATTTTATATTATTATTATTGAAATTATTTATTAAAAACAAAA